TATCCACAAGACGAATTTATGGACAGGGCTTGTGGATATAAGGCAGTGAGGTGGTGGAAATGGCAGTGGAGCAGTTTGGATTTGTGCCAAGGGGAGGGAGGGGGACTGTGGGTGCAGTGTCTGCTTGAGGGTTGCAATTGCATCGGCGGAAAGAGATACATATGCAACCACATATGTTAATTGTCAATTTGGAAAAGCCATATTTCCACATTTCCCCAGAGAGAGAGGGTACCATAGATGTACCGCATTGCATGTCCGATTGATACCAAATATACAGAGTAGTAAAGACTAAAACTGAAAGAGAATTTGGGGGTAAAAGACATTTTTAAGGATAGAACTTAGTTATATCAGGAATCAGTGAATCAGAAATCAGTCTGTCTTCAACATAATCTGGTAGACTTAAGACGATGTTCGAGAAATTTATATGTGAACACCATGGAACATCATGCATGTTAATGACGTGTTATATCATTGAGACAAATGAGAAAAGTGAGGACAGAGATTTAGGAGAGGATCCCTACAAAGTTCATGAGAATTTAGCTGAAAGATGGACCAAAGGCATTATATATGTTCAGTGAAAGTAAGGAGAAATGTGTATCACAGACGATGGAACAATAAAAAAAGCTAGATTGTAAATATTTAAGTTCAGTAATGGATGTTGAGAGAGACTTATTTAGAAAGGCTTACGGTTAATGGTTATAACAAATATATGTACTAGACATCAAAGGTCATATAGCACTATAATAAAGTATTGTGATGAAAAGGGTAAACGCATAGGATAAATGGACAAGAACGGGAAAAGAAGAGAAATCATAGGAAAGGGAGAAAAGAAAAGACCATGCAAACTTAGTAGAGGCGAGGGCTGATCCTGTACATTGGGCCTCAGTCTCCGTCTCCTAATACCCCACTCCCCCCTCTCCCACTCGACAACAACGAGCAAGGAACTAGGGGGCAGGTATTTAGAAAGGGAAAAGATATCAAAGAGTGGAAAACGAGTTGACAAACTAGAGAAATATGAAAGGAAGTTATTTGAAGTTAGCTTAGCTTAGACAGAGAGTGTGCCGTAAGTAGGGCATTTGATAGGAGGAGACGCTTTCAACATAGCGACCCCATAATGATGAGCTAATTATGTAGCAGAAAATTGCTGTCATTTTTATCATCACTGTTAGCATTATTGTAATAATTATTGACATTTTCACTACTCCAGTATTGCTATTGTTCTGTCATTGATATTGTGGCACTCATTATTTGTATCATCATTGTTAACATTTTCATTACGTCATTTTTATTTGCATTAGTCATAAATATTATTAATGTTACCACTATCATTATCATCATTATCATCATCATCATCATCAGTATCATCCTTATCATTTTCCTAAATTTAATATTACTGATTTCATTATCATCAGTCTTATTTTTGGTGTCATCCTAATTACTATAATAATCATAGAGAACTATCAGTATGATTGCCATTATTATCATTATCATTTTTATTAATACTATCATTATTATTGCTATTACCATCAGAACCCCTATTAGAACACCCATTATCACTACCAATAAATACTAATAAATGTCAATATTATCATAATGTTTACTATTATTATTATGAATTATACATTTATGATTGTCATTCATTATCACAATTGATATACATTCTTAATGAAAAAAAAATCACATGCTTCAATAATTTCTCAGTCATATATCCAATCATGTGAAATTATATTAAAAAAGAAAATTGATCTTGATAGCATATAAAGTATTGATTAACTCTAGTACATTTCATCTTGATATTTTTATATGGTCATCATCATCTGTTATTATCCATTTTCGTTCTTTGAATATCATCAATTTTTCCAATATTCTCAGCCTTCCTTCAGCACAAAACACTTATTACAAGTCACACACAATAATGGTAATAGATTGCAAAACAGTTATTGAATATTACTGAGACATGTTTATTAACATGGGGCTTGATTCAGCAATCGCACGTTGAGAGAGAGAATCTGAAGCATACCATGACTGAGATTTACAAGTGCTTCAGTTGTTTCCTTTGTAACTTTGCTTTAAATAATCATTATTCTCTCATACATGTAGTGGTTAATGCATCTGCTGTATGTCTCACTATTATACAATAACTGTTTTGCAATCTATTACTGCTTGCTACATAATTTTACTCATCTCAAAGTCTGTTCTGGTTACAATAAGTAATTTTCAGCGTGCAAATAATGGATTATCCAATAGAGATAGTTTTAGCATTTCTTCATATTACTGGTTTATATAAAAAAAATTGAATGCTTCCACTCTTAAATAAACTAATGTATTATCTACTTAAGGTAAAAGTTTACATGAAACTAGTTCTGATGAAGATTTACCTTTTTTAAAGATTTTTTTATCACATCAAAATATTTTATATCAGTATATTACAAAAGTATTTTTTCATTGAAGAGAAAGTTTCATTTAAAAAGTAATACAATACTGGAAAAGTAAATAATCATAAAATTTGTTGTTTATTGAACTTTGTACAGAATCACAACTTTTTTCCCAAAATATTTCAGCATCAATAAAAAACTGACACAGTTTTCATCTAAAATCTATCTCCAAACTTCTTATAGGAAATTTGTTGCTTATAAAGACAAAAAGTATTGCAATATAATACAAAACTTCTGTATTACAACTACAGTACAGGAAATATGTACATAAGTGAATGTTTTTTTATTACTGTGCTTAAGAAGGTACAATACACTCTTTTCTATTCTACAGATATTTAAACTAACTTTTCTCACTTTATCTTCAGGTAATTTACTCCCTGTATGTCACCATACTTTTATATAATCACATACAAGAAAAGATGCTCAGCATCAAAATGAAACTACTCCTGACAACATATTACATATAAATAATTACCTAGCACTGTGTTAAACTTTGAATACACATATCCTTTATCTTAAGAATATCACTTTAATTTCAGTGGCAATAAAGATTTCATGAAAGAAGTTGCTTAAGTATACACAGGTGTTTTATGCATTGGCATAAAACTATGGACAAGAATATGTAACATATAAAAACTAAGATATATATATATTTTTCTTCTTAACTGCCACATGTTAGCTAGAAGTCACTGTTTAAAAAATATACACATATGTCTGATTTGTAGCAGCATTAGGTCAATACTGATTGTGAATTAAAGGCCTTTATTATAAATGCACTCATTTAATTGAAAAGAGGTGACAAGATCATTTTTACCTTGACTGATACTTTCTTCAGGTATGGAGAAAAGACCCATAAAAAGTCTGTAATACACTGAACAAGAGGGTTTTTTATATATAAAAAAGGAAACCTCAAATAAACATAAATTGGATACTGACGAGTAAGATTAACTGAAGGTCAAATTATACAAGCAGTTCAATGGATAACTGACAGGGAGTTATAGTTTGTATACATAAATTTGTGTACATAACTATCCCCAACTTGGAGGTTAAATTGGGAATGTCAGATAAAAGTGATTGGAAAACAAGAGATCTAAGAGTGAGAGCCATATTGTAAAGCCTACTATAAATATTTATAAAATCTCTCTCTTCTGGCCAAAGGAGAGAAAGAGAGACTTCCGCATTAAAGATTTTTTTTTCGGTAGGATGTTGAATCGATAATGCGAGAGGAACCTTTTGACGAGCGAATCCAAAAATGCGCAGAGGGATGGACAACATGAACTTCAAACTTTGCAGATGGAAATTATCTGTGAAGGATGCAATGATTTCCAACCTCAAGGGGAACGTTATTACAGAGGAGCTATTTGTCAGCATAGCCTGCATAGGTAAGTGATAAAATCCTGAGTACAAATGAAGTACAGAAGAGATACATCCCAGAAGAAGCTGCTGCCCATAATTCTGAACTCTACCACAAAGATGGTATACCAGTACAAATAATGCTCTACATGGGCAAATTTTCTTCTCCGTATGTCTAAAAGCACCAATCTGCAGAGTACTCATGTGTTTCTGTTAAACAAAGTTCCCACTGAAGAAATTATCAGTAAAAATCTGGTTATCTTTGTAACAATGCCCTTAGTAAACTCTCACTGCATCAAAATCACCTAGTATTGTTTCATCTTTTCCTCCCTGCAACTGTAACTCTATCCCTTCAAATGAGATGATCAATTATGTGTGATATTAATTTTCTCACTCTACATTTACAAAAAAAATAAATAAATAAAAGTCCTTAGGAATCTTAAACCTCCTTGGCCTCACATTCTACCCTTTTGAAATATCTATGAATCCCAGTTTCCCTAATTATCCCTTTTATATATTACGTTTCTCCCTTCAAGCTATAGACCGAAAGTTAGAACCCCAAGATTCTGACATTTTTATCTCACCTCTTTAAATAAATGGTGAATTTATAGTGCACTTCCTCTTTTCTTTGTCTTTCAAAATAAATAAATAAATAAGTAAAACATTTAAAAAAAAAGATAGAATAATTTACTTTAATATTTTCTTCATTGCAGCTGCAGGTGTCTCTCAGCAATAGCACCGAGATCTCAAGACGAACTCGAACAAACTCTTGTGTGGGCTTGGTGCTGGAGCTGCCGGACAAACACGCGTCCACAACCGCAAACGAAACTGGGCTTACTCGGATGTTTCAGTCTGAGGTGCGACATGATCATTTCGTTACTTCTGTGTATTTCTTGGCAGTGCGGACACATGAACGGTATGGGGTCTTCAGGGGCGAGGTTGGCCTGGGGGTGGTCTACGGAACCCCCGGGCTCCGATTTTATGGTCGGGGTGGCTGTTGTGGTCGCGGGCTCGCTCTGACTGACAGGTACCGTTGGAGACGTCTCTTGCACATGCTCTATAGTCGGGGAACTGTTTCTTGTTTCCTGGGGTTCGTCTTGCTTTCCGTTTTCGTTCGCCGGGGGTGGAATTGCAGCCTCGTTATTTGCACTCTCCTCTTCTTCTTCACCTCCACTTGCTACTTCCTGAGGGCAGAGATTAATAACCAAGTAA